ACAGTGTACACCATGATGTGTTGTGGAATTGTACACCTGAAACCTGTATAATTTTGTTAACCAGTGTCACCCCAATAAAGTCCATAAAAAGGAAAGAAACATAGGTAAGAGAGAGAGGGCAGAGCTTCAGTTTTCTCCAACGAGACTAATATGTACACTGGTAAGAGTCACATTCAGTAATAAACGGCAGCCCAAGTCTGGTGAATTTCCAAAATGAGTACACTGATCTAGATCTAACCAAATTCTATATCAGAATCTTCAAGACTGGCAACACGATCTCAAAGAATCCTAGGATAATCTCAGAAATTCTGGGAGGACACCGGAGATGCACAAAGGCAGGCGATGACAGTCTTGAAAGACAAAAGAATAGTTAAAATGAACTAGATACCCACAAGGGCAACACTGATCCCTGGCAAATGTTTGTTAAAGTTACTTTTCAGAGACTGTGCATTATCCAAACTCCGCTGGAGCTTCAGTACTCCTCGGGAGCACCTTTATTCTTACCACTTAATTTCTTACAACATTCCTCCCCGGTAGCCTCACTCTCTCCATTTGCTTTTGTCTCTAAGAAGGTCAAAGTCCTGTGATCCAAACTCCTTTAGCTTTCAATCTTCCCACTGCCATAGTCCTCTGCATTTCCTTTCAAAAATCAAACTCAGCCTGGCCAGCGTGGCTCCCTGGTTGAGTATCAACGCATGAACCAGGAGGTCACGGTTCCATTCCCAGTCAGGGCACAGGCCCGGGCTCCAGGCTTGATATCCGGCGGGGGGCGTGCAGGAGGCAGCCGATCAATGACTCTCTCTCATCACTGATGTTTCTCTCTCTCTCTCTCCCTCCCTCCCTCCCTCTTCCTTCCTCTCTCTGAAATCAATAAAGACATATTTTTAAAAAGTCTCAATGACTAGTCATGTTAAACGGGAGCAGGGCACCTATGGTGCACTAACAAATAGCTGTGCAGTAAATGTTTGTTGAACCTTACACTCCTCCTTTTAGCACAGTGGTTAAGAGTGTGGGCTCTGGCACCAGGAAGCCTGGGTTTAAATTCTGGCCAAATCACTTGCAATGGGATCTTGGTCAAGTAACCTAATCCCTCTATGCCTCAGTTTCTTCAACTTCAAAATGGGAAGAATAATAATGGTACTTCATGCATTTGTTGTGACTGAGGAGTGAAATCACACACGCACACACACAACTTAACAGTGCATGGAAAAAGCTCTTGAAATGTAAATCTATTATTAGTTTTAATCAATTAAACAAATTGAATAAATTGAATACTCACCATTCTATAATACTTATCATAATTACCTTACACTTGTAAGTAATTACAGGGGAGTATTTAGGGATGATGTGTCATAGATTTGCGTACCCTTCTCAATAATGCCCTCATTTGTCAGTGAGGAGACTACTGCTGCTGGAATAGCACATGGTCAATCAGTGTGTGAGTGAGGGACCACAGCCTCACAGTACGTCAGCGGGGCCTTCAAACCTACATAAGCTACGATCTCCTTCACGTTCTAAAGCAGCTCGAAGTTTACCCAGAGCTTCACCATATTCTCGGATCAGGAACCTTTTCTTCAATTCCTCTTTCCTTCACTACTTCACTTTTCAATCTAATCAATCCAGCTACTGTGCACTGAACAGGTTTCTAGCCATGCGCTTGACTGCTCGAGGCATTTACCAGGAGTAGCACCAGAGTCACTGTTTGGAAACTTCTCCATTTATGCCAGTCTCCTAGTTAAAAAAAGTTACTTCTGCTTTCATTATGGATAAAAAGTGTGGTAAAAGTAATTTTAAAATATTCATATTATTTATAATTGAAATATTCTATAAGTGTGTGTATATATATATATATATAAAATTAAAGAGCCTAGCAAATTATATAATTGAAGAGCATGTTAAATGCTCTTCATAGTAAATATGTGTGTGTGTGTGTGTGTGTGTGTGTGTGTGTATAAAATTTAGATTGCTCTTCAGTTTGTTAAAATAAATTTTACTTGATTTCACACAAAGACTCAAATATACTCCTTTGAGCAAACTTATGGCTATAAAAACAAAGACAGAACAACTATGTGCTTAAAATTTCTCATTCTAAAAAGAGTTGGCTACCAAGGGCTTCGCTTTTTCCTGGTATGGTAGAGGAGAGCGAATCTGTAACCCAGAATGATAGAGGTGGATCCCAGAGAGAATCCTACAACACAAGCCCTTAAATGAGGTCTTTCTTTTACATTAAACATAATTAAACATTTAAATTAAACCTGATATGTACATTCTATTTCATAGAATACACAGCTTGTATTAATATATAAGTAATGCTGTTTTCCTCCTCCAAATCTCTAATCAATTGACATTGTTAGAAAATATGTCCTATGTATGCTCTTGAAGGAGGGCCTCCTGAAAAGGCTTACCAGTTTGGAATTAATAATTTTATTTCATAAAAAGAACATTTAAATCAACTAGTCTAATGTTTCTTAAAATTGAATCAATACTAGATAGTTTGCTTTTCTGGGATGAGGGGCCTGAAGAAGACAGAGCTTAGGAAAAATTGAACAAAAATGATTCTAAGGGTTTGTGACCATTGAGACTGTGGCGTTACTGAAAGGAAGGGCTGAGCATTCAGATGTGTGGAAATACTGAGCATGTTTATAGTGGGGCATCCAAGAGGAGCTTTCCTATGGGACATTTAGACTATAGAGTATTTCTTGGGTGAGGAGGACTCCAAAAGTACAGGTTTGATGGTCATTTGCAAGAGCTGAAGCAATAAAAATACGATTTCTTAGAATGAGAAATTCTGAACATCATGAATCTTCAGAGGAAATACAATCACTGATAGAGGAAAAAGTCACTTGTAGAAGACAGAAGAGGGAGAAAACCAGGCCAAGCACTAAAACAAAGAGCGATGACAGAGGTTTGCCACCACTCGTCACTGACTTTATAAAGATCAAGAAGAATAAGAACAGGTTATCCAACAAAGGGTAAAATTACAATGTAGAAAGAGAACCATAAAATTTTATATGTGGAAAGTTCACGTGAGGCCATCAATCCAACCCATCTATTATATGAGCAAAGTCATATAATAATAAAAAGGAAGAGTCCTAGAAAGAAAAAGTCAAAGTTCATTCACGGAGTCACTTTGGAACAGATTGTTTTGTTTTCTTGACTTTGTAACTTAATGTTCTCTCTGCTCCTGTACATAGCAGCCTAGTCTCCTAAGGTAGGCTCTTCCATGTAAGTTACTAACAATACAACATTTGGGAAGGAAGATATTTGCAATTCAACAATGAACGTAACTGGAATAAAATTTAAATTCATAAAGCAAAGGGACTGAGTGTTTCAATGACAATCCTTTGAACTTACTACTTACAATGCAGTGCCACAAGTACAGTTCCTATCTAAAATTACTGTTGTGCTCTATTCTAAGAAAACATAATTCTACTCCACTAGTGCATGATAGAGGAGGAACTAATTATAGAAGAAAAATTTAAAAAAGAGAGACTGTGGAAGGTTGGAGGAAGAAGATAAGCCATCTCCTAAACCTGCAGCTTCTCACACAGGAAACATGGTTTTTTTCCGAAAATGACCAAAGAACATTTCCATTTCATATATGTGCTGGAGGATTTTGAAGTCTGGTGGTAAAAGGCTTATCCACACCCCACACTATAAAGCAACATTACATCAACACCCAAGGAGCACCAGCATCAAAAATAAAGCAACGAAAACAAAACAAGGAAAAATGCCTCCTACTCCTAAGGCTTCATAATCAACAGCTCATCTTAGTGGGATGGCACAGAGGCAGATCTATCAGAGATGCTTTGTTCTAAACCTATGATTTTCAGAAAGACAAACCTTGGTTTAGATAAAAAGCTGTATGTACTAGTTCAATTTTTGAGTGGCTCAGAATTTCCTAACTCTAATTTATTGGTAATTTGTCCTGCAGCATGTGTACTTTTAAGTAGGTACTTTCCAGGATGCCAAGTCAACTATAATATAAGAAGGACTTCAGGAATTTTTTTTTTTTTTTTTTTT